ATGAGATAAATATCACTGAAAGCTGAAATGAGTGATGGCTATTGCCATACCCTTCTATTAACTACTACTGAAAACATGAGCTCATTGCTAAGAGACAGCTTTTGTTTTCGAATTTTCAGACAATATAATATGAATTTTATAGATGGTAATAGTTTCCTTAGGTGGTATCCTTACTATCCAAAGTAAAGTGCCGTCGTTTTCTGGCTATGCTCCTCTTTCGCAATATTAGCTGGGCAACAAATTTTGAAATTCTTCATGTGTACATCAAACATAATCGGATACAACAGTTATGTTTAAATGTAAATGGCTAAAATATGAATATTGTTGATAAACATTAGATATAGTAAATAATAAAGTATATAATAATATAATAATAAAGTATATATATATACTATATGTATATATAAATATATAACGTAATCTAATATCATTCAAAACATTGAAATCAATTACTACTCCATTTTCTTTACATTTTATTTTGTTCTTTATTTATTTTTAAGGGCACTTCCCCATTTTATTTATTTTTTGTTATTAAAATTAATGCTAAACTTTACATTCGTCTTGAAAATGCCCCTTAGCTTTATCTTCTTATTACTATTTATAATGTGTGTGGAAATTCCACTCTTTGTACAACTTCTCTTTCTTCTGGTCATTTAATTGGTGAATGCATTCTATACAAATATTTTATGGCAATTGCAATAACTTAAGTTTGCCTGTCGGAACACTTTCAAAAGACACAAATCAATTCGTAACAACAACAATAAGATTGAGAGTCAAAGCATTGTAAATCAAATACTTAACTACTAATGACGTATAACGGCCAAATAGTTGAAATTGAACCAAAAAATAAGTCATTAAAAAGTTTGCCGTGACTTTTGCAGTTGCAGCGCAAAGCGCAAATATGAAACTTCAACTTCAACTTGGGAAAGCACAGGGCATAAAAACTAACTGAAAGGATGGTCGGGATGGCGGGAAGGGCATGCATTGGATTATGATGCAAGCCTGTGCTTATTTGCATGCTTGCTGCTGAATCGTTGGATGGCTGGCTCACTGGCTGGCTCACTGGCTGGCTGACTGGCTGGATGGCTTAAGGAAGACGTTGGCTCTGGCGCAGCTCATTAAAAATTTGTTGATGCTGCATATCTTGAGCTTTGCTTTCCTTGCCTTGCATGCTAGCAGGATGTGCATCGCCCGCTTCCTGCCAGCTGCTGTTCGGCATCCCTGCAGAGCAAGAGGTTGCACGTAAAAGAGATGGGGTGTGGCTTGGGGTGTGGCGCCCAAATGCAACTTCTCAACTGCTGAGCTGCCGTTTTACGGTGCACGTAAACGGACTACTCATGGCACAAAACTTGTCTAGTAAAAATCACGCATAATTTATTTACCATAAACAAGAAGCTGACGACAGACAGATTTTGTAACTCGACTCCTTTGTAGTTTGTGGCCTGTCACCATGATGAAAAGATCCGCCGAGCGGTGGAGATTTTTCCACATCCAACTCTGACTGTTGACCGTGCATGTAAATTACGCATACGTCATGTTGGCAACAACAATTGCAAATGTGCATCGAACAGCATTAAAGCATGGCAAGAAAGAATGTGTGTAGAAAATAGCAAACGAGCACAAATCGCAGGCATTGATGGCGAACGTAAAGAAAGCCAGGAAACTAAGCCTGATTGAAGTGCAGCGTAATAAAAATCGCTTTATCTTCATTAAAGCGAGCAAGATATCAATGCACACACACACACACACACACGTATGCCCACAAACACAACAAACAGCAACACATGTAAGTTGAATAAAGCAAATGCTTAGAGGCAGAGAGAGAGAGAGAGAAGAAAGGGAGAGAAGGCTGGCCTGGTTGCTTGGTTGCCTTCCTGCCTGAATAATAAATGCAACGAACATCAAAATAAAAGGTTGCAACACAAAATGAAGAAGAAGATGACGAAAATGATGAGGGCGATGCAAAAGAAGCAGAAGAGAAGAGAACGGAAAATAAAGTACATGACGCAGGGATAAATGGTAGAATCATGTACACGTGCACACACACCCACACACACCCACACACACCCACACACACTCACTCGCACACTCACTCGCACACCTCAAGGATAAACAGCCAGGTAGGCAACGAGTGAAGCAGTGTCTAGGGCAGTATAGGGCAGGACAAGGCAGGGCAGGCAGTCAGAGCGGCCAAGTGGATACATTCATTGTTGTCACAGTGGTGGGTTCTGTTCAGTGTGTGTGTATGTGTGTGAGGGGGCAGGAGTGTGGGCCTGCATGGCAAATATGTTGCGCTTGCCTGAATCTGCCGACATCGAGCAACGCTTCAGTTGCTTCGCCTGTTTGGCTAACGAATATGTGGTGTGCAGGACTGCAGGCTTCAGTCTGCATGGCCAGATGGAAAGCTAAAGGGCACATTCAGCTTCAGCCTGTGCGACTGCTGATGTTGTTTTCGTTGCTATATAGTATAGTATTATTTCGCCGAAAGCGAACTGCTGCTGAGCTAGGACAATTTTTAAACTGCTTCTGCAGCTGCAGCCGCCAGAGCGGAAAGCCAATGGGTGGTTGGTTAAGTGAAATCCAGCGGGATGGGACACATCGTACGTAGCTACCGGCGTTATCATTATCGTTGTCGCCGCCCGCGATATTGAAAACAGCTAAAATCGACATACGAGAAATAATAGCTGATTAGCAAAAGAGGTGCTTTAAAAGCACATTATATACGAATATATTACCGATTCTTTTTAATATCAAATTTTCTCATAAAAAAGTAACAGCGGACTCTTACCGTCGCTTTATTTAGAATAGAATAAGCAACAGTGCATTTTTTATTTTATTATGCATTAAAATAAATTTGCTATATTTGCTCAACCAACAAGTAATACCAGCTTTTAATCCCACAAACTTAAAATTTTTTCAAAACTACAAATGTCATTTTTGTTCAAACAATCAATGTTTGTTCAATCAACAATGTAATCACTATTGATTTCGATTTCATTCTTTTTATCAAAAATAACACGAGTTGAATATGTAAAACTTTTAATACTTAACCCTATTAACTAACTATTTCAGTGGTGAATCAGAAATCTTCTCTTTATTTTATTTTGGTTTGCCCTTTTTTGAGTTCAAATGAAATTGTTTTAAACGTTTTTCAAATGTCTCTATAGCGCTTTGTCACTGAGTGAAAATGGAAAACAATTGAAATTAGAAATTAAAGCAATATTAGAAAACTAATAGAACACAGTGTAAGTTGTGGCATAATTTGGAACTGGCAGAGCTCAAGAACCTAACCGGAACTCCACAACGTGAGTTTCTTTCTGAGTAGACAATGGTTAGAAACACGCCGCAACCATCTTCACAGAATCAACATTAAAATTTCAAAGTTATCATAACATTTTTTATTGTCCAACCCTAGAAAGATCTTAAATAAAGATTAAGGATTGTAAAAACTAATAATAATAATAATTTGGGAGAAAATATTGATACGAATTTTGGCGCCACTTGCTGCTTCCAAGTGAAGTTTCTATTGAACCATCTTTAACAGGAATCGATAGCGGGAACAAGACTTAGTAACTATTCAATAAGTGGTAAGGGAATATCTGTATTTAACAAAAAAGATCGACTAACAAGAATTAGGAGAACACCTTACACGAACTTTTTAATTTATTTTTAATAAAGCAACACCGCGCTCGTCGCTATTTTATTCAGTGAGTTAGAGAGACGGTAATAAATACATTATTCGTTAAAGCGAGCATTTACAAACAATTAAATTTTAATATTAATCCATTGTAATTGGCCATCCTTCCAAACAACCTGCTGGATAAAACAAACTGAATTGTAAATAGAAAAGCTGATAATTATTTCAGCTTTGTTGGCCAGATTAAGCCAGAATTTTCCATTAGATCTTACAAATTTAGCTCATTCAATATGCACGAGCTCATCAGGCCGAGCAATGCGGCTGCCAATTTGGCCAACCAGTGCACACCGCTTTTGCATTACACATAATTGGAAATAAGAGTGAAATGAAGACACTTGCTGTTGCTGGCGCTGTCGCTGCGAATGATGATGCTGTCAAGGTCGCCAAATGTGGCACAGCTTTGGGGCACTTGCAATGCTCGCTCGACAAGCATTGCCTTGCCCACGCCATAGAGGTCGAATCCATTTAATTGACAATTGAAAGTAATTAGAGCAATGGCTGCAGCGCACGCGTCTCAGCGCGCCGTATGAGAAATTTTATAAAATGCGAGAGCCTGTCGCGCTAATGAAACGATGAGAAGAAAATCATTTCAGAAACTCATTGGAAATGCAATGAAAATGTCGATGCAGCCGTGCAGAAGGTAAAAGCAATGACCCATAAACTTGCAATTTCTATGTGAAAAAGTTGCCGCCGTCATCGTCAAGTGGTGCACGGGCTCTCAATGTCGTCGTCTGTGCGGCGCCAGGTACCCTTAAAACAAGCAGAAGAAGAGGAAGAAAAAGTAAAAATCAATTTTGGGGAATGCAACGCTGTGAAGGATGCAGCATTTTTAATGGACCCGCCTGATATTTGGCGGGCAGGTTGGTGGTGGGTAGACATGCGTTTTAATGATGCCTTCTCTACCTTTGATATTTTTTCCTATGCAAATTTTCATGCTGGATATGAAGGGCGGCAGAGTGGGGTGAAGGGGGTGACAAGGGGCTAGCTGCATATTTTACAATGGTTTTTCGCCATGCATTTTTATGTGCAAGTGCGCGCAAAATTTATTGAAAACGAAAATATTTGCATGAATGAATGTGAAAAACGATGAAAATTTGTGGAAAACCCATAGCGACCAGGTGCCACAAACGAGCGTTTGGGCTGCCGAGCATTTTCCACGTTTTACAAGCCAATGAACAACAATTGCTTTGTCTAACTGAAACAAAATGAAGAAAATTTGTTGGCCAACCGACATTTTTTGCATACTAAATCAATTCAGATTTCACTTAAAGTTCTCCCCTTCAAATTCTCCAATCTCTTGCAGGCAAAGCGCTTACAGAGCCTAGAGCTGGCCGCCATTAAAGTCATCAAACTGGAGCCATCCGATGATATACAGATCATACAGCAAGAGATTATAATGATGCGCGATTGCCGTCATCCCAATATAATTGCCTACTATGGCTCCTATCTGCGGCGCGATAAACTGTGGATCTGCATGGAGTATTGTGGCGGCGGCAGCTTACAGGACATCTATCAGGTGACAGGTCCTTTGAATGAGAAGCAAATTGCCTATATGTGCCGGGAAACACTGAAGGGTCTCGAATACTTGCACTCGATGGGCAAAATGCATCGTGACATCAAAGGTGCCAACATATTGTTAACTGAATATGGTGATGTGAAGTTGGCCGATTTCGGAGTGTCGGCGCAAATAACAGCAACGATCAACAAACGAAAGAGTTTTATTGGTGAGTCAAGTAATCTTTTTATGTAACCGTTATACCATTAATCGTTTTGTTATTCTCATTGTAAATGGGTGTATGACGATAAGATTATCGTTATATTAATATCATCTGCATTATTCGTATACCCTATGGCCGCATGCTTTATAAAATATCTTTAATAATACTTTAAGATGAACTTGTCTTGATGAACGAATGTACTTTTAAAATGGTTTCAGATGCATTATTTTTTTTTTGGTATCATTTAACAACATTGTTTTTCGATATTTTTAACAAAACAGTTGTTGCACTAAGTAAATATTAATATTAATTAATAACAGTTCAATCCGTTGCTCTTTATTAGAATATAAAGCTTGGCATTTAAGAGGATTCCTCAATTGTACATATTTATTATTGTTCGAAAACAATGTATGTACATACTCGTATTTCGAAGCAAAGTACAATCCAGAAGAAGAAGAAGAAGCGCAAACTACATGCTGCAGTTTGTGGGCGTAGTACTGGAGTCAAATATTTTCGCTAATAACAATTCTGAAAATTGACCGATGTGGACTAAATTGTAAAGTAAAGAAATTACGTATACGTAGACGTAAAGTTTAATAAATGTAGTTTTGGAATTAAATTTTAAAGTAAAGAAATTACGTAAACGTACACGTAAGGTTTTATGAATGTATTGTAGAAATTCTGTAGCGCGGGAAAGGGGAAAATCAAAACAAAAAAATTAAACATATAAAATTTGGTCGAAACGGGGTCAGTCGTTTTCGAAATCCAGGTGTGCATCCAGACGGATCGACTCGTATAAACTGGCTTATTATATCTGTGTTATTTTATTAGCCTGGAAACTCAAGCAAAATTAGGTCATTCTGCTTTTTCGCGAAGTCAAAAATATATTGACAAATCTATTAATATCGGTTGAATAATTTCGGAGTTTCTCTCACGCGAAACAGACTGCTCAAGTAACAAGCTAGGGCGATATACAAGTATACCTGAATGCACAGGACTATATAGTTCAGTAGTTCCCAATATGTGTAGGAGTTTCCCTTTTATTTTTGGTCACATTTTCATTTGCCTTCATTCAATCCATCATAAATACAGGGTGCGCCATCTTTTATGTCGGTATGTAAACATTGAATATCTTTGAAAATAAACAACCGATTTTCAAGTATGAGATATTTTTATTTAATTTGGTTCTGTACAATTTCTTCAGACTAATTTTTGAATACAACATCAATCAAGTCAATCGGTTCACTAATGACAAAGTTATTCAATATTTACATACCGACATAAAAGATGGCGCACCCTGTAAATGCTCTCGCTGAAATAAGTTTATTTTTTATGAAAACAAATTAATATCATAGTCATGAAGTACCTATACAAACATTACCATGCATGACCTTATAATTACGTTATGATTACGTCGCTATAAATTTGAAGTAGTTCGACCCAACTATAGACGAGGCGCAACGTCAGCTCTCAATATGTTAAAGTTTTAATGAAAAGTGTTTCGCTTTTGTTGCGTGTGCGTCTGGGTGTTGGTGTGGGTGCGGATGCGGGTGTGTGTACAATGTGTGTGTGTTTATGAAAATTTAATTAAAATTTGCCATGTGCATTAAACTTGTGCAAAGTTATGCCATGTCACATAAAAATATTTCAAATATTTTCTCACATATGGCAAACATCAAACAGCAACAACAGCTGTCGTCGCCCTTCCTTCTGACTTCTGATTTATGGGTCAACATCAAAATTTCGGCTGCCGTGCTACTCTTATTCTGACTTCGGCTAATTGAAATTGTGCGCGGCACACACTGCGAATACGCGATACGCGTCTCAGAGGCTCACGGGCAATTAGTTTTAAGCCACTTGTCGCAATTTTCACTTTATTTATTTATTTATTTATTTATTTATGTTATTTTTTGAATGGAATTTGCGCAACCCACTCCCACCAACAGCAACGATGGATGATTCGCGTCTATTCCCATTGTTATTGTTGGTGTTGGTGTTACTTGCCGTCTGTATTTGCTGTAAAAGTAACAAATGCGCCAGTATTTGGCCCGAGTTATGGGTTGCAGCTGCGCGTGTTGCGCGATTGCCGCTGGATTTATGCAAATTTAATAGAGCGTTTTTTATGGGTCTCGCATTCGGTGGAAATGGGTGAACTGAACGGCTGGGAAAACACAGGCGTTCGGATTATCGGACATTGCTAGCTTCAATATGATGCAGCGTGCGATATTAAATTTTTAGGTATTACTAGAAATTACATCAACAATCGAAAACAACCAAATAACAAATCAATCTGGAAACAGTGATTGATTAATTTCGTTTAGAATTCCATTTATTTGCTGCATAATTGCTTTCCTCCTTTGGATAACCTTTCCAATCTAAAGCTGATGAATTATTTGTGGGTTACCTGTATATACTTATTTTAGTCACAAAACTTGACTACGATATGTTTTAAATAAAAATGTCTTAATATTAATATTTTGAGCATTGTATAAATAAGGTTTGGCTTTCGAATAATTTTTATAATCTTAAAAAAAGTTCTCTTCTCATTTGGATAAGATTAACCAATACTGTGTTATTTGTATGTCCTTGTATGTCCTATGTAGATTCACAAAACCTGTGAAATGGTTCTCAGTTAGAATTGTCTGAATATAAATATTTCAACCATTATCTGACCAAGGCTTGGCTTTGAATTGATTGTATTTAACATACTTTTTAAAGAGGAAACAGTAACCTAAATATGTAATCCATGCCACAAAACAGTTGTAAGCAAACAATTTGTATAAATATATTCTTAACTTATTTATTTTAAAGCGAAGCATATTTCAAGTCTTTTTCTCTCTTTGTTTATCTCGTGACCAAGAGAGATTTATAAATGTATTTATTGCAATGCTAGTTTTTGAACAGAAAATCATGCATATTTTAACACTATAATGTCTCAACAATATGCGTATATTTAGTTAGAATTGCCAAGGAAACCCATTTGCAGAAAGTGAATATTCGTGTTTATGGTTCTTGTAATACACAAACCTAATAAAAGCCAAGGGCTTCAGCCGATTTGAAATTCTCAACTCTAAATACGCTTTGTCATGCCAAAAACATTTTCTGTAGCGGACGCACAAATGTGTTTTAGTGCGTGTTGATGCAGCAAGTTCTGTGAAATCGCTTCACAGAGCTCTTTCTTGCCACACAGCCTGCGCAGTGTAAGCTCAAGGACAGCCACAAGGCTGGCAGGATGCTGTTATAAATGCCTCTACCTGCCATAAACGCCCACGCATCAACTTATATAAAGTGTTTATTATTATATGTTTTCTTGCTGTTGTCCAGATACTAATACACAGACACACACACTTATATAAGTACACATAGAGAGATATAGAAGCTCTGTGCACTGACAGCATCCTGACAGCAACGCAATTGCTTCCCACGCTTTTAAACACTTACAAAACAGCTGTCAAAAATGACACACACAAAGATGTACACAGGAATTGCCAAGAAGTGGTGAGAGAAAAGCCTCCGGAAAAAACAAGGAAAATTAAATAACAGCAGTTGCCGCAGCCAAAATATAATAAAAATAATAACGCTCCTTATAACAAATAATAAAATGCTATTAAAATGCGGCAAGTGAACACAAAATGATGGGACTTGGGGTAGGAGCTTGAGTCGCGTTTTCAACATGGCAAGGCAAAAGAATTTTAAACAATTTAATTTAGGAAAAAAATATCAAATGCAGACATGTTGGCAACAAAAGTAACAAACAAGCAAACATGCAACAACAAAGAAAGAAAAATGAAATAAAAAATAGAAATGGACGGAACAGGTTGAGAGCATGGGTGTGTCCCGCCGGCTGTCTGAAAATGTGTCGAAACCGAGAGAGAGAGAGAGAGAGAGAGATCACCCGCTGACTGCTTTACGTCCAGTGGCTAGAGTGGCAGGTGGAACTAGAACGGACCGCTTGCTGTGTGTCGTCGCTCCTTCGTCTGCTTCTTCCACTTCCCTTTGTTGTCGGCAGACTCGAGCACAAAAGCAAATAATTTTTAAAAATGTCCCTTTTCAAGGCGAGCTGGCAGCCGCCAAGCCCTGCTCTGTTTGTTGGCCAGACCATGCTCAATGGGATTTGCCCTGCCCACAACTCAACCTACAAAAATTCACACACACACACACACAGACAGGATGTGTCTCTCTGTGTGCGCGTGTGTGTGTGTGTGCCAGTTCTGGCTGCTTATTTTTTAGCACTAATAGATTTCTGCTGCGCTAAGCTGCTTTACAAATCCCCACAAACAAAATGCCAATGCTACTACCAACTACTATACTTAGAGCACGCGGTTCAACACACACACACACACACACACACATACACACACACATACCCCGAATGTCTGAAAGATGATGAGGTTCTGGACGCGCGTGCAAAAGTAAACGCACTTTAAAATGTATATTGTGCCCGCCTTTAAAAAGACTCTGACAACGGGCGGCAGGCGCAATTTAAATGTAAATACCAACTTATCAGTCAAATGCCACGTACAAGAGCCCAGAAGTTAACGCAACTCAAAAAGCGCTCCTTCATCGTTTTAAAATGTTGAGCACAACTTGCAATCTGGCAAGGCGCAGACCAAGCCAACGATATGTACGTCGTAACTCATCAGAATGTCTTGTATGCGCTATATGATTTGCATGAATGCTACTACTATAAGGGCTTTAGCAAGTGCTCCGACTAATACAAGTTTCTTTAAAAAATTCCGAATGTGTTGTGAACGAAGAAAAGTGGTAATATCTGTAGAAAATCAAGCTATTCTAAGAGGTGGTCACATATGTAGATCTGTTTATTTTATAATTCCTATTTTTAGCTAACCTTTTTTAAATGCAATAATACGAGTATTTATATTCAAAGAAATCACTTTATATAAATTAAACCTTAGTGTAATTTATGAAGTCTTAAGATATTGAGATCTCTATAACCAAGGAGAGAGAAAAGTAGAATTCCTTTTTACAACCCCAGCAATAGTCTT